CGGGGGACCGGGACCCCCGTGGCCACCTGCGTCCAACCGCCCCTCCCTCCCGCCCCCCCAGGTAACAATCTCTTCCTGGTGGCCGTGCACGAGCTGGGCCACTCGCTGGGCCTGGAGCACTCCAGCAACCCCAGCGCCATCATGGCGCCCTTCTACCAGTGGATGGACACGGAGGACTTCCAGCTGCCTGAAGACGACCTCAAGGGGATCCAGCAGCTGTACGGTGAGTGAGGGGCCGCGCCAGAGCCCCTGCCCCTGCACACAGCATTAGCCCCTCGCGGCCGCAGCTAGCCCGAGTGGCTGCCGGGCCCCCTGGCTTCTCTCCAGGCCAGAGAGGGCGGGGCAGGAGGTGCCCCTTGGCCCCTTCCTCAGACAGGCCCCTGCTCTTCCATCTAGAGCAGCCTCCCGGCACCAGTCCCGGCTGGAAGTGGCAGCCCACTGTGGTCCAGACCCTGCCGCACCCTAGTGAGCATCACGCTGGGGGTGGAGCACAGGGCTGGGGGCTGCTGGCCCAGCGTGGCCGGTCCTTGCCCGTGGGCTGTGGTTTGGGAACCTGGCCAGGCATTCGGAGCCACCAGAGCGACAGCGAAACGCTCTGCGCCATTTGCGGCAGGCAGTAAGGAGTTGGCCCGTTCTCTCCCCAGTCAGGGTGTTCCCAGGCTCACAGCTGTAGCTTGTGGAACATCTGTCCCCTGTCGCAACGCAATTTGGCACCACCCTGGGCCTGCCTAGGGAGTACCCTGCTCAGGCTGTGTCATAGGCCCTGTACTGCAGTCAGTGATTCCCCGGGAGCGACAAGGGCCTGTCTCTTGGAGCTGTGAGGGCCGAGATCTCGTCCCCGCTGACTCTGTGCAGCACACAGAAATGGGGGCCCAGGGTGGTGGGGCCCAGAGGCCTGCAGATTTGCACCCGCACGGCCTATATGCCCCTGCGCAGCTGGGTTGGTTTAGACCCAGGGGGTGCAACCAGTTCTGAAGCGGTGGCCACTAACCAACTAGCCACCTGGTTCTGAAAATGTCCATGATTTTGGGAGCCAGCTACCCATACTCGACTGGCCAAATAGCCACACATGGCTAGCGTGGTTGGGCCCCTGGGGAGGGATTCCTCACTGCCCCCTCCTCTTTCCCAGGTGCCTCCGATGGGCAGCCCCAGCCCACCCGACCCCTCCCAACGGTGACTCCCCGTGGCCCGGGGAAGCCGGACCACAGACCCCCCAAGCCGCCTCCCCGCGGCAAACCGGATCGGCCCCCGAAGCCAGGCAGCCCGGACGGGCCCAGGACCACGGAGCGGCCCGACCAATACGGGCCCAACATCTGCGATGGGGACTTCGACACTGTGGCTGTGCTGCGCGGGGAGATGTTTGTGTTTAAGGTACCCGGCACCGTCTCCCCATCCTCTCGTTTCCCTCGTCCTTCCTCCGGTCCCTTCTCCGTTCCCAGGGACGCCGGGGAGCCCTGGGCCTGGCCTGCTGCCCCGGTCTGCACCCCAGGGGGCAGTGAGCTGTGTCCCGGGCTGCCCCAGCCTGGGGCTGAGCCCTGGTTCGCACTGGCACAGGGAGCGGTCCCGGGCAGCAGGGGCTAACTCCCACCAAACGCGGGGGTTCTGGGACCGGGGGGCAGCCGGGCCCCCGGACTGTGCTGCCCACCCAGCCTGGCGGCCTGTTGTCTTCAGGGCCGATGGTTCTGGAGGGTCCGGCATAACCGGGTGCTGGACAACTACCCCATGCCCATCGGGCACTTCTGGAGGGGCCTCCCCGGGGACATCGATGCCGCCTACGAGAGGCACGACGGCAAGTTC